CCCCAAAGCCCCAGTAGATAGTTGTATGCCATAGGTTCACATCCTTCTAGTTGCTGTACGTGGGACTCAGCCTCGCGTTGGACGGAGAAGTGGTGCCTCGGGGCGCGCCCGGGATCCGAACCCGGGCCGCCAGCATCAGAGCGCGCGCACTTAACCGCTAAGCCACGGAGCCGGCCCCATGTTACTTTATTTACGGTTAAAGTAAGGGCCAAAGGCTCTGTGATGATGTCTTCATAGTCTGGAATTAGTTTCTCTTTTTAAACTGGTCCTGAGAAAATGTGACGTAAGTACTGATTGATATACAAAACTTTTTCCCTAACCATGGCTTTTCAGTGACTATCGGCACAATCCTAATGAGGGTCCTCCCATGAGCATCTCACAATCCCGAGGGAAAAGGGCCCTCAGATGATCTAGTTGAAACTGCTGTGAAGGGAGGAGTGTCTTCAGTGCAACCCTGATTGAGTTGCCCAGCATCTACCTCAGCCGTCATGCCATTCTAAAGTGGTCACACTTTTACTGTTTTGATTATTTTTTCCAGTTTTATTGAGATGTAATTGACATATAACACTGTATAAGTTTCAGGTACACAACATAGTGATTTCATGTACATGTATATTGTGAAATGATTATTACAGTAAGTTAAAATCCATCACCTCACATTATTTACAAATTTTTTTCCTTGTAACACTTCTATTTTTTAAGGCAGTTTTAGTTACCACAAAGTTCTTCACTAGTAAACAAACATGTTCCTTTCCACATTTTCTCTTCATTGATCCTTATTTTACTTTCTAGAATTAACAGAGTAAGTCTATTGCTTTTTTTCTTAAAAATGGTATAAAAAAAAATGGAAAATACCTAATCACAACTTGAGAATCTAAGGATGAGGAACTGTACTGGGAACTTTACATACATTCTATCTTTAATCCTCAGGACAACTTTTATCAGATAGATATTTTATGTCCATTTTATAAGTGAGGAAGCTGAGAAAGTAAGACATTTGATGTAAGGTCACATAGCTAGTTAAGTGGTAGGTTTTTTTTTTGCTGAGGAAGATTCGCCCTGAGCTAACATCTGTTGCCAATCTTCCCCTTTTTGTATGTGAGCTGCCGCCAGAGCATAGGCACTGACAGAGGAGTGGTGTAGGCCCACGCCCGAAGTGGTAGGTTTTGAATCTGCATCTCTTTGACTCCAAAGACTAAAAGGAAAGGAAAAAAAGGCTCTTTTTTATGCCTATCGAATAAACCAAACAAGGTTCATTCACCAGGCATGAGTTAATCCTAAAGGACCCCTGCTGCCTGTTATCTATCACCACTTCTCTGAGGAAATATATACTGTTCAAAAACTATTTATTCTAGAACATTGCCTAACACCAACCTTGTGCTAAATGGACTTTGATTTACAGAATCAGATTTCTTTTTTAAAAAATAAGACTAATTCTTGCACACTTTGCACTAAGTTTTTCCTTTGTTCTTCAAATGCCTTAAGCAATGCTTCCCAAGCTTCTCGGATGGTATCACCTAGGGAACTGTTAAAAACACAAATTCACAGTCTCTACCTCAGACCCACTGAATTGGAATCTCCAGGGAAGAGACCTGGGAAACTCTTTTCCTTAGTTTCCTTTTCTTAACTTTTTATTTGGAAATAATTCCAAATTTATAAAACGTTGCAAAACAGACATAGTACAAAGATCATCCATTACTTGTTACCCAAAATTGTTAGCATTTTATCCTATTTGCTTTATCATTTGTTCTGTTACTCTAACAGACAGACAACTTTCGTGTGAACCATCTGAGGAGATATTACATGTTACGTAATTTATGGTCCTTTACCCCTAAATACTCCAGTGTATATTTCCTAAGACTAGGAATATTCTCTTCCATAATCACAGTGTAGCTAACTTCATAAATTTACTTTGATATAATATTTCATCTAATCTAATCTACCATCCACATTTTAACTTTGTCAGTTGCTCTAACACATCCTTTGTAGTGTTCTCTCCATCCAGCACAGGACACAGCCTGGGATGAGACGCTGTATTGAGCTGTCATGTCTCTTCAGCCTCCTTTAATCTGGAACATTTTCCACAGCCATTCTTTGTCTTTTATGATATTCATATTTTAAAAGAACACAGTCCCATTCCTACTTTTTTATTGGAACTCCCTCATTTTGTGTCTGTCTGATGTTTCCTCATGATTGAAATACTGCATAAATGAGGTGGTGTCCTTCTCTGGGTGTCCCTCAGTAACACATCTCCTGATTTCTTCACTGTATACCTTTTCTCATTTAACTAATAAACAGTCTGTAAGGATACACTTTAAGACCATGCAAATATCCTATTCCTCATCAAAATTCTGCCCTCAATTTAGCATCCAGTGATACTTGCCCAGTCCTCTCTCACCTGATCCTACCATGACAACTGCAAAAAGAGGCCTTTCCAGTGCCAGCATTCCCTCCGTGTTTACCAGTAAGCCTTCGCCACCTACTCTAAGCAAAGGACCTCCCTTCTCCCTCTTTTGTTTATGTATTTATCATCGATACGGACTTTTAACTTTTCAATGATTCAGAATTGCTTATTACATTATCCTTTTAATTACATATTAAATAATGTATTTGTTAAGTAATTATAATTACTTATTTTGATGCTCAAATTGTTGAGCATTTTGATAATAAATAATAAACTACTAATAGTTCATTAAGTAATAATAATTACTTAATTATTTTGATGCTCAAATTGTTCCAGATTTGGCCAGTGGGATCTGCTTCTTTAATCTGACTCCCGTGTCCTTGTGCCCTGCCCCATCATTCTTCTGAGTGCTTTTCTACTTTCTGTCATGACTAGTCGCTTCAGCTCTGACTTGCACCTATCCTGCCCTAGCCCTGCACCAGCCACTGTTGCAAAGAACTCTAGTTCTTCTTAGTGGAAAATAAGAGTACTCGAGGCAGATCTGTGTGCCACGTGTGCTCATTAGATTGGTGTGTCTTTGTTTCTTGGCCCTTTCAGTGGACGTAGGTAGTAAATATATGCATGGTTATACATATATACATTTAAATATACAGATAATATCTATACACAAGCACATATTTTTAAAATCATAAATTCACATTAATACCCTCAATTCCAATGCCCCCCACATGGTCCAATGCCCCCCACATGGTTCTTTTTTTGCCTGCATTTTTAGTGAGCACCCAAAGTGACTGTTCTAATTAGGGATGTTTGGGAAACACTGCTAAAGATTACTGATGAATCTCGGTCACAAGTTCTCAGTGCTTTTCCATGAAATTCAACTGGATCAAAAAAGGAACTCATTTAAAACACTGGGTGTTCTCTTTCCATTTCATTTATCTTAGCTATCAGTTCCTTCTTTCTACTGAATATCTGTTTTATTCAATTCCATTCTGAGGAAAATTATCTTTGAAGATAGAAGAACAAAATAGCAAGTGACCACTTTCTCAGTCATCACTAGCTAATAGCCAGACTTTGAGTCTGACACTTGCCTCTTTCTAGTTTTTCTTGCTATTAATGTCAACTTAAACTTTTTTTTTTAATTTTTTAATTTTTTTGTGAGGAAGATCAGCCCTGAGCTAACATCCATGCCAATCCGCCTCTTTTTTTTGCTGAGGAAGACCGGCTCTGAGCTAACATCTATTGCCAATCCTCCTTTTTTTCCCCAAAGCCCCAGTAGATAGTTGTATGTCATAGTTGCACATCCTGCTAGTTGCTGTACGTGGGACGCAGCCTCAGCACGGCCCGACAAGCGGTGCATCGGTGCACGCCCGGATCCGAACCCGGGCCGCCAGTAGCAGAGCACGCACACTTAACCACTAAGCCACGGGGCCGGCCCTCAACTTAAACTTTTAAAAAAGTCCTTTTCATTACTTCTGGGGGACATGCCTCAGCACATGTTAGCCTTGAACATTCAGGATACCTTCTTAGGAGTACTACCAACCACATATACACGTGTGTGTGTGTGTGTGTGTAAGGTATGTATACATAGTGTGTGTGTGTATAGTAATATGCTCTCAGTCATTCTCTTTCCATTCTTCCCCTCACTGGTTTCACTTGTAAGACTATTGTCCCATTTCCTAACCTTCAGAACATAACTAACAAAGCCCACTGTGCACTATAAAGGACTATGAACATATAAATTACTAGTATTCTACTTCACCAACTAGGCCTTTTTGTTGGTTAGACTTAGGTCCAGAATAGCAGTTCTCCTTGAAGCTTCTTTTACTGCTGTCAATCAGATCAAGGCAGACTCTGGTATACTGCAATGGTATATGGCAATGAGGGGATATAGAAAAAGGAATGGAGAAAAATCTTAAGGGGATGGCCGCTGGAAGAGAAGGAAGTTTCTGTGACAACTAACCAAACACATTTCTGTAGATATGTAAGAAAGGATAGCCCGAATGAAGTCAGGGAAGGACTCCAAATGAACAAAATCAGAAGTGGACTGGCTTGGAGCAGCACAGAGCAGGCTCTGCTGGTAATTACTTCCTGCACCAGTTTCTTCATCTTTCAAATGAGAATACTAACCCATATCTACTTTATAGGGTTTTTATGAGGATTAAACAAGTTAACACATGTTAGGTAATTAACAAAGTTATTCCTATGAAACACAATTCTTTTTCTCTTACCAATAGTGACAAAATGCATTTGGTAGAGATTCTCTCATCTCTCAGAATAAACTTCCACCTCTCACCTCCTTTAGGGTTAACTTTGTGATACATCAGCAACATTACCATTTGAGAACGACAGTAGTCCTCCTTTATCTGCGGCTTCACTTTCTGTAGTTTTAGTTACAAGTGGTCCAAAAATATTAAATAGAAAGTTCCAGGAATAAACAATTTATAAGTTTTTTTTTTTAAAGATTTTATTTATTTTTTTTTATTTTTTCCCCCCAAAGCCCCAGTGGATAGTTGTATGTCGTAGCTGCACATCCCTCTAGTTGCTGTATGTGGGACTCGGCCTCAGGATGAACGGAGAAGCGGTGCCTCGATGCGCACCCGGGATCCAAACCCGGGTCACCAGCATCGCAGCACGCGCACTTAACCACCAAGCCACAGGGCCGGCCCAGACAATTTATAAGTTTTAAATTTCATGCCATTCTGAGTAGCATGACGAAATCTCATGCCGTCTCACCCGGGAGGTGAATCAGCCCTTTGTCCAGCATATCTACACTGTGTATGCTCCCTGCTCATTAGCCACTTAGTAGGCATCTCAGTTATCAGATCAACTGTCACAGGAGTGCAGTGCTTATGTCCAAGTCACCCTTACTTTACTTAATAAATGGCCCCAAAGCCCAAGAGTAGTGATGCTGGCAATTCAGATATGCCACAGAGAAGCCGTAAAGTGCTTTTAAGTGAAAATGTGAAAGTTCTTGACTTAATAAGAAAAGAAACAAAATCATATGCTGAGGTTGCTGAGATCTACAGTAACTTTTATTACAGTATATTGCTTATCATTGTTTTATTAAGTTATTATTGTTAATCTCTTACTGTGTCTAATTTAGAAATAAAACTTTATCATAGGTACGTATGTATAGAAAAAAATATAGTATATACAGGGTTCGGTACTATCCGCAGTTTCAGGCATCCATTTGGGGGTCTTGGAACCTATACCCCAAGGACAAGGGGGGCCTACTGTATACAAATCCACTATAGAAATGATGCAATAAAAGCAAGCCTACTATATACAAAAAATTTGAAGGAAATTTCTAAATGTCTAAAACTCTTTTGTGAAGATAATAATCATAAATATAATCAGATTTATGAAAACTGTTCTTTTTCTTTTTTTTTAAAATAATTTTATTTATTTATTTTTTCCCCCAAAGCCCCAGTAGATAGTTGTATGTCATAGCTGCACATCCTTCCAGTTGCTGTATGTGGGACGCGGCCTCAGCATGGCCGGACAAGCGGTGGGTCGGTGCGTGCCCAGGATCCGAACCTGGGTCGCCAGTAGCGGAGCGCGCGCACTTAACTACTAAGCCACGGGGCCGGCCCAAAATTGTTATTTTTCAAAGACCTATTTTCTAACCAATCTCCCACTTCCAAGATTATCCATTTTATTAAGGGTCCCAACGTGCAGTTTGAAGACTATCAAATTCACTATTGAATATAGGCTATTTATAAATTAATGGATTCCTATAATTTCTCGTTTGTAAAAAAAGATCATAAAATGTTAAAATTCAGGACACGTGTTATCACCCTAAAAGTACCCAATAGCAACAAGAGAGTCACGCCACTTACTTCATCTCTGTAGAGTGGGCTAGTGTAGTACATGATGTCCATCGCACTGCTGTTCAGCATATCCCTTAAACCTCGGACTTTGTCAGGAGTAATGGAGTCAACAGTGTCTACAAATCAAAAACAAAAAAACTAAACTTACAGGTCTCTGTTTTAGAGAAAAAATAAATTGTGAAAAAAATTACATTCCCTGAAATAACAGCTCTTTAAGTTAACTAAAATCTTCAAGACTAACTTTGAATCTAGTGAACCTTCCCTTCCTGAAAAATATTGCAAGCAAAAAAAGTAAAAGACAAAAGGGGACATGAGAAGAAAAGGAATGTTAAAAGATGAAGGCCATCACCAAATTCATAAAGCCTCACCATTTTCTGTACGTACTAACTTTTGTATGACATTCAGAGGTACCCAGAGCAAAACCAGACCATCTCTGTTCCTGGAACAAGTGTCAAGGGACGCAATCTCACTCTTTCTGTACCTCCTTTTCTGTTTTCTTTCTCTTCTTCTTCAGCCTACACCCCTTGGGCCTGGCAATACCCATGTGAAATGCCTAGAGCCACTTGGTGGCAAATCAGCAACAAATTAAAAGTTTCCCTGTACTTTACACGGACCTATCTGTAGTGAACCAAAGATACTAAGGTCAAGAGCTGTCAAATCACAAACATGCACAGAGGCGCATCAGCAGGGGCCTCTCCAGTAAACAAGATACAGCTGCTGTAACTTACCTTTGGAAAAAGACTGTCACATAAACTGCATTGCAGATACGTTCAGCCTTCCATGAGTTACAGCTAACCTATGGAAATTCTACCTTGGGAAGATTATTCTATTAAATGCTTAATACAATGACTAGAGAGAGAGAAAATTTTGCACTTCTTATAGCAATACAAAGAAGTCCAATACTTAGATGAACATCATGATCTGAAAGGACAAGGTGGGCAGAAGGCTTATATTTTTAGTCTAGTGTAATTCCTTTTACCTTGCAGTTTTTTTACTGCATTGGTTTAAATTATTTTATTTTTATTTATTCCCCACTTTAGTACAATCAAATAAAGACTGGAAGGCAACGATTCAAGGAAAACCTAAAGGTGTTTCAAAGATGTAAAGGGACCAGTGTGGCTTTTCATGGGTAGCACAACATGCTTATAGCCTGCACCTATTTTTAAACTGGAAAAGTGAAAGGTGTGACCACTACGCTGGTACAGAAAGTTTAGCTGTCATTTTAGTGCATTTCTAAAATAAGTTTTTACTGTGAAATAAACATACATGCAAAAGAAGGTATTGAATATATATGTGGAGCTGAAAGAATAATTTATGAAAAGGAAAACACGTTCTTACCACCTAGCTGCCAGTATCTTTGAAAGTCACAGCACGGTCATGCGCTTATAATGAGGTTTCGCTCAATGGACTGCATATAGGATGGCGGTCCCACATGATTAGCACCGTGTCCTCTAGGTATGTAGCAGGCTATACCATGCAGGTTTGTGTAAGTACACTCTGTGATGTTCACCCGACAATGAAATCGCCCAACGATGCATTTCTCAGAATGTATCTCCATTGTTAAGTAACATGACTGTGTATCCCTAAATGATCACATGCTCCTCCTTCTCTGCCAGAAGTAACCACCAATACAAGGTTTGTGTTTATCACACTGTTTTTTTTTTTTTTTTTGTGAGGAAGATCAGCCCTGAGCTAACATCCATGCGAATCCTCCTCTTTTTGCTGAGGAAGAGCGGCCCTGAGCTAACATCACCAATCCTCCTACTTTTTTCCCCCTTTTTCTCCCCAAAGCCGCAGTAGATAGTTGTATGTCACAGTTGCACATCCTTCTAGTTGCTGTATGTGGGACGCCGCCTCAGCATGGCCAGACAAGCGGTGCGTCAGTGCATGCCCAGATCCGAACCCAGGCCACCAGCAGCGGAGCGTGAGCACTTAACTACTAAGCCACGGGGCCGGCCCCCTCTTGCTTTCCTTTATAGATCTCCTATATGTCCATTAATAATTTTAGCCAATTCTATAACATTTACTATGTGTCAGAGCCTAAATATTTGATTTTATTTTGTCTTTTTTTTTTTTGATAATTTTTATTTATTTATTGATTTTTCCCCCAAAGCCCCAGTAGATAGTTGTATGTCATAGCTTCACATCCTTCTAGTTGCTGCATGTGGGACGCGGCCTCAGCATGGCCGGAGAAGTGGTGCATCGGTGCGCGCCCGGGATCCGAACCCGGGCCGCCAGCAGCAGAGCGCACGCACTTAACCACTAAGCCACGGGGCCGGCCCATGTCTCTCTTTTTTTTTTTTTTTGGTGAGAAAGATTAGCCCTGAGCTAACATCTGTTGTCAATCCTCCTCTCTTTGCTGAGGAAGATTGGCCCTGGGCTAACATCCGTGCCCATCTTCCTCTACTGTGCATGGGACACCGCCACAGCATGGCTTGATAAGCGGTGTGTCTGTCTGTACCCAGGATCTGAACCTGTGAACCCCAGGCCACATAAGCAGAGCACACGAACTTAACCGCTATGCCACCGGGCTGGCCCCATCATTTTGCCTGTTTCTAAACACTATGTAAATTGAGTTATTGCCCATGGTTTGTTTCACTCTCAATATATGTTTCTGAGATTCATCAGTGTTGATGCATATAGCTATAATTCATTCATTTTCCCTGCTGTATAGTATTCTACTCTATACATATCTTACAATTTATCCATTTTCCTTTGAAAGACATTTGGGTTGTTTCTAGTTTTTTGCTAATATAAACTATGCTCCTAATAACACTCCATGCCCCCTGCACATGTGTAAGAGTTTCTTTAGGGTATATATACCTAGGGGTGAAACTCCTGTGTCATAAGACACGTGCACACTCAACTTTACAAGATAATGTCCAACTGTCTTCCAAAGTGATCATACCAATTTACATTCCCGCCAACAGTGAATGAGAATCCTCATTGCTGCACATCCTCATCAATGCACGGCATTATCACTTTCTTAAATTTTTGCCTGATGGGTGTGAATGATATTTGTGGTTTTAATTTGCATCTCCTTGATTACTAGTGAGATGTACATTTCACACGTATTATATAAATAAATATTTAAAATATGTGTGTGTGTGCACATATACATGTGTGTGTATATCTATCTACCTATCTACCTATCTCCATTTAAGTTTCCCATTCTTTATCCTGGATATTAAACTTTTTGTGGTTATATCTGTTGCTCTGTTGCAACATTTCCCCCCAGTCTGTGGCTTCTAATTCACTCTTTTTGATGTCTATTGAGAAACAGAAGTTCTTAACTTTAATCTAAACAAATCTATCCATATTTTTTAATAGTTGTGTTTTTGTGTCTTAAGATACTCTCCTATATTTTTTTCTAAAACTTTTCCAATACTTTTTCTAAACTTTCTAATACTTTTTTCCTAATACTGGTGCACTGGTCAATTTGCCTATCCTTGCAACAATACAAACTGTCTTAATCACAAACGTTAAAAAGTAGGCCCAGCTATCTACTAGGACACAACTTGCTCCCCACCTCCAACCTCTTGTTCTGTTATCTTGGCTATTTTTGGGTCTTTGCTCTTCTATAATAATTTTAGAATCAGCTTGTCAAGTTTCATGAAAAATTCTACTGGGATTTTGATTGGAACTGCATGAATTATGGATCACTTTGGGAGAATTAACATATCTAAGATACCGAATCACCCAATCTAAGAAAATTGTCGATCTTTGTATTTAAGTTGTATTTAATACCTTTTAACAGTTTTTTCATTTTTAATGTAAATATACATATTAGATTTACTTCTAGGAACCTTATATCTTTTATGTTATTTCTAATTGTGCTGGTATATAGAAATGCAATTATTTTTATATATACATTTTCTATTTCACAACCTTGATAAACTGTCTTGTTCTAATAATTTTTTTACAGATTCTTTTGTATATTCTGTGTAGACAATCATATGACCAGCAAACAAAAACAGATCTTCTCCATTCCTTAAAACTATTATTTCTTTTTCTTATCTTATTGCACTGGCTAAGATTTTAGGTAGAATATTTGTTATAAGAATATATATATAAGAATATATAAAAATATAAGAATATATTTTTAGGTGGACATCTTTAGCTTGTTTCTGATTTAAAAGAAACGTTTTTAGCCTTTTAATACGAGTGAGTGCAATGATGTTTACAGTAGGTAAATACCTTTATCATTATTTTAAAATTTGCAAACAGTAAAATTGACCTCAGTTTTAATGCATATATAGTTTTGCATAACTACCACCACGATCAGGATACAGAACTATTCCATCACCATAAAAAACTCCCACATGCTGGCCCTTTGAATTAAAACCCTCTGCCTTCCCTAAACTCTGGTAACCACTAATCTGTTCTCTGTCCCTATGGTTTTGCCTTTTCCAGTATGTTACATAAAAGGAAGCACAAATTATGTAACCTTTGAGATTGGCTATTACTGATACTGTGATATAATAAGAAACAGATATTTGGCCTTTGTCCCTGGTTCCTGGCACAGGGTTCCTAAAACTCTTGAAATTTCACGAGTCACAGGAATGTATTTTATTATTCATAATAAGCCTCTTTCAACCATACTTGAGTTTATGCTAATAAGCTGACTCTTAGAGGATGGCGGCTGGTTGCCAGAGGAACCAATCATGTGATCAGAGGGTGGAACTTTCTGCTCCATTCCCTGACTTCTGGGAAGGGGAGAGGAGCTGGAGACTGAGCTCAATCACCAATGGCCAGTGATTCATTCAATTATGTCTACGTAATGGGACCTCCATAAAAACCCTAAACAACAGGGTTTGGAGAGCTTCTGGGTAGGTGAACACATGGAGGTATTGGAAGGGTGGTGGACTTGGGGAGGACATGAAATCTCTACACCTCTTCCCCGTAACTTGCCCTATATAGCTCTTCATCTGTATCCTTTGTAATAGCCTTTAAACCAGTGAATGTACGTAAATGTTTCCCTGAATTTTGTCATTCTAGTAAATTACTGAACCTCAGGATGGGGTCATGTGACCCCCCCCCCCAATTTACAGCTGGTCAGTCAGAAGTACACATGACAATCTTGGACTTGTGATTGGCATCTGAAGTGGAGGGCAGTCCTGTGAGACTGAGCTCTTAACCTGTCTGTACCATCTCTCGGCAGTTAAGTGTCAGAATTAAGTCATAGGACACCCACTTGGTATCCATCAACAATTGGAGAATTGGTTGGTGTGGGGAAAATCCCCCAAACATTTGGTGTCAGAAGTGTTAAGAATAGAGAGCGGTGGTTTTCTTTAGCTGCTTTCACTCAGCATAATGCCTTCTAGATTCTATCACAGTAGTTTAAACCTAACAGAAAATTACAAACATAGGGGTTTTATTAAAGGTTGGTTTATCCATGTTGTCTACATTCCTGAGTAGGCTAAGAAATTTATCTGGGTGAATGGGAAAAGCCTAAAAGATAGTGTTGTTACACTAGAACTTTACATATGAGCTGTTGCTACCTCTTTGGTCACTTGCATTTTTTTTTAAACTCATTACAACTTTTGATGCCATTTTGGTTTATAAGCTATAACTGACATTCCTGACTGACTTGGAAGAATCCTTGGAAATCATCCAGGGAGGCAGGTTAGCAGTGTGATGAAAAGGACTCTGTCATCACTCAGACCCAGATTTCGCCTGCCATTCTTACGTTCACTTTCTACTAAGTTTGTTTGCTTATCAGTAAAATAGAGAAAATAAAGTAGGAATTTTACAGATTTGTGAGAAAATTAACTGAGATACTCCATGTAAAATGAACTGTAGAGAGTCAGGCACATAGTAAAGCTCCACAAATGGCAGCTGCGATTATGTCCAGCACAACTCTCCCATATTCCAGATTATGTAAATAATCAACCTAAACATTCTATTTTAATGTTGATTCTATTTTAATAGTTTTAACATTCAAAGGACATAACTTTGTGTAAAGAAAGATGCGTATTTTGGCTAATGGCTTTTTAAGGAAGGAAACAAAAATGACTTTATTTAAACAAATATACTGTACAATTTCTCTATGGTAGATTATAATTCACAAGCTGAGCGATCACAGGAACAACAGTAAAAGAAAACAGAAATCTAACCAAAAATAAACTCCTATGGAATTGTGGACAAGAAATGTTTTATTTTATTTTTATTATTCATTTATTTATATTTTATTTGTTTGTTTATTTATTTATTGTGAGGAAGATCAGCCCTGAGCTAACATCCATGCGAATCCTCCTCTTTTTGCTGAGGAAGAGCGGCCCTGAGCTAACATCTATTGCCAATCCTCCTCCTTTTTTCCCCCTTTTTCTCCCCAAAGCCCCAGTAGATAGTTGTATGTCATAGTTGTACATCTTTCTAGTTGCTGTATGTGGGACGCTGCCTCAGCATGGCTGGACAAGAGGTGTGTCAGTGCATGCCCAGGATCTGAACCCAGGCCGCCAGCAGCGGAGTGTGCGCACTTAACTGCTAAGCCATGGGGCCAGCCCCAAGAAATGTTTTAAAAGTATTGACAAGTCACTTTTCTGTCAAAAAGTTTAGAAAACATTTGTCCTCCACATGTCCCCCACTGCTCTCCTAATCCACAGAGGGCATGCACGAAACCTGTGCTATCTGTGAAATTCAGATGGGGATCCAAAACATGTCAATATAATTATTTTAAAAATCAATGGATTTTATTTTCTTAAATAATCTAGAAGAAAGAGTGAGTATACCTTAAGACAACTAAATTAAAGACCCTTTGTTCCCCCAATGAGAAACAATTCCTTGCCACTGGCTAAACTGTTTAATTTTTAAACAAAATGTACCTCCATCAAGAGTAAGTTTTGACCGCCACTCAACAGGCAGAAATTCAACATGTGTTGCATGGTTGGAAAAATGTCTTTCTTCTATTTTTCTTGCAGCTTCTCTCATCCTTAAAAAAAACAAAATAAAAACATAACAAAACAAAATTTTATCAGAGTAACTTCACATATGTATTTATATGGTATAAAATATCTTTAATCATAACACTTCTACTTGCTTATAACTTCGCCCAATTATGTTTGAATTACTGCTACACTATGCAATAATTTGCAACACTAGGGCATCTTTTTTTTTTTTTTATAATTTTATTTATTTATTTTTTCCCCCAAAGCCCCAGTAGATAGTTGTATGTCATAGCTGCACATCCTTCTAGTTGCTGTATGCGGGATGCGGCCTCAGCATGGCTGGAGAAGCGCTGCATTGGTGCGTGCCCGGGATCCAAACCCGGGCCGCCAGCAGCGGAGCGCGAGCACTTAACCGCTAAGCCATGGGGCCGGCCCTAGGGCATCTTCATTTCAAAGCTATTTTCCTAAATTTGCCATCTACGATTTCAAATATTCCAAGCTTTCACATTATATGCTAAATAATTATAGGAATAAATCTTTAGAAGAGAGAATAGTATAATGAATACCCCTGTGCCATCACCCAGCTCCAAAAAGTAGCAAGTCACAGCCTGTTATTTCATCTATTCCTCTAGTTGTTCATCCCATAATTTGGGTTTTTCAATTTTATTTTTAAAATTAAGATACATCGAAATTGATTTTTTCCCCTTTTGGTGTCAGTTGTATAGATTTGTGGTTAGCACCACCATCAAGATACAGAATAGTTCCATCATCCAGAAACCACCCCCCCATCCTATCCCTTTATAGTAGCACTCCTCTGCCATATTTTAAAGCAAATCCCAGACACACATCATTTCATCCATAAATAGTTTAGCACATATTTATAAAATGTAAGGAAAACATAACCTATTCAGCACTATTATCATACCAAAAAAATTAATAATTCCTCAATTTCAGCAAATGTGTAGTTCAGTGGTCCCATTTTCCCAGACTATATTAACATATAATTTTTATATAATATTAATGTAT